CGGAGTCTCGCTCTGTCGCCCAGGCTGGAGTGCAGTGGCCGGATCTCAGCTCACTGCAAGCTCCGCCTCCCGGGTCTACGCCATTCTCCTGGCTCAGCCTCCCAAGTAGCTGGGACTACAGGCGCTCGCCACCTCGCCCGGCTAGTTTTTTGTATTTTTTAGTAGAGACGGAGTTTCACTGTGTTAGCCAGGATGGTTTCGATCTCCTGACCTCGTGATCCGCCCGTCTCGGCCTCTGAAAGTGCTGGGATTACAGGCTTGAGCCACCGCGCCCGGCCGAAGTTCAGGTTTTAACCAGAGATGGTGGGGAAATTTGGGGAGTGATGAAATCAGATTTTCATTTTAGAAAGATTAGTTTGACAGCATTGTTGTGTATGGATTGGAGTACTGTAAAATGGGAGGCAGAGCAGGCTATTTAAGCAAAAGAAAAGGTTTTAACCTATGGCAAAGAGAGAATACGGAGAATGAAGTAGATTCTAGAGAGATTTTAGAAGGAGAATCATTGTGATTTGGTGACTGGGGGAGAAGAGAGTCCAGGATGATCCTCCATTTTCTTTGCTTAACTGCATGGATGATGTACTTGATGGAAGGTAGAAAATAAATATATACTTATAATTAAAATTCTGTGGAAGTATGCATTTCTTCCTTTCACCTCTGATTCTGGCTGAACTCTGACTTACCCGTAAAGTATTCCATAGGAAAACTGTTTAGAAAATTCTGGGTTAACAGAGTTACAGATTTCTTCTTGGAAACATTTAGAGAATTTCTGAGAGTCTTTATTGCACTAATGGGCATTCCCTTTCGAGTAGAATGTGATGCTTCCCAAACTTAACCAAACACTTTTCTGTGTTAGAGGTACACTTTAAAAATGTTCCTCAAACACAGTTTGGAAGGTTTTGTCTGAAAATATTCCTGTAGGCCCTTTGTATTGGGGATTTATTCTTCTCACTTCCCAGTTTCACTGGGAGACGGAGAGGTTACTCTTTTCATTGTGTTTCTGCATTAATGATATGTTTGACCTCTTTGTAATTGGCTTCTCAACCTCCTCTGACTGCCACTTTCTATTTTAGCCCCTTTACCAGCACCAAAGATCACTTTTCCTTGCAACTGCTTTGCTGCCAATATCTGCCTATAATTTCCATGCCTTCCATTTTTCTTAGTATAGATTGAGCATCTCTAATCTGAAATCTGAAATGCTCTAGAATCTGAAATTTTTGACATGACACACAATTTTCAGATTTTTGGATTAAGGATATTCAACCAGTATGTATTCTTTAAATATTCCAAAATCTGAAATTTAAAACACTTCTGGTCCCAAGCATTTTAGATAAGGCATACTCAACTTGTACCTCACCAGAACTGAACTGATGCTTGGTCCTCAGCAGGAGATACATAGCTTGCTTCCTTGTGTTTTTTCCTCCATGACGAAACTGGAACAAGATCATGACTGCCTTCTAGAGGCCATGCTCTGGAGTTCAGGTTTTAACTAGAGATGCTGGGGAAAGGCTTTTTAATCTTTTCCACAGCCCTACATGTTTGTGACTCCCCCCATGTTTCTGACAATTCACCTTTGAAAAAAAAACTTTATTGGAGTATAATTTACATACCATAAAATAAACATGTTTTGGCGTGGTGGCTCATGCCTGTAATCCCAGCACTTTGGGAAGCCAAGGCAGGTGGATCACTTGAGGCCAGGAGTTCGAGGCCAGTCTGGCCAACATGGCGAAAGTATGTCTCTACTAAAAATACAAAAATTAACTGGGCATGTTGGCGCACACTTGTAATCCCAGCTATTCGGGAGGCTGAGACATGAGAATCATTTGAGCCCGGGAGGCAGAGTTTGCAGTGAGCCAAGATCATGCCACTGCACTCCAATCTGGGCAACAGAGTAAGACTCTGTCTCAAAAAGAAAGAAAGAAAGAAAGAAACCATGTTTTAAATGAACAATTCAGTGATTTTTAGTAAGTTTCCAGAGTTGTGCTAATATCACATAATCTAGTTTTAGAACTTGTCCATCACTCCCGAAGATTCTTTGTGCCTGCTTGCAGGTAATCCTTATTCCTACCCTCAGCCCCAGGCAAGCACTAACTTGCTTTGTGTTTCTATAGATTTGCCTTTCCTGAGCATTCATTTAAATGGAATCATAAAATATATAGTCTTTGACAACTGATTTCTTTCATTTGCTTGATTTTGAGATTCACT